CATTTTATTTCTTTTCTTTATGTCTTTTCATTGTCTGTTTGATTACGTCTTTAATACATTTTCCCGTACATTTCTGCCATATGTACATTAATTGACAGTCACCACTAATAAGCTACTACTAAATATTGTAGAAACATAATTTTCTGTAAAGTTGCTTTTCAACGATTTGTATCGTTGTTTCACAAAAGGTTCTTTGTGGCGAAAGAAGGTTCTTCAGATTACAAAAAGGTAAGAAAGAGATGGTTCTTTAAAGAACCTTTGACTGAATGGTTCTTTGTGGAACCGAAAATGGTTCTTCTATGGCATCGCTTGAAGAACCTTTTGAAGCGCCTTTATTTTTAAGAGTGTACAGTAGAGACAGAAAATCATCAAAATGCCTCTTGTACCTATAAACTCTAATGCAATTCTCATCCGACGCAATGTTTTCCCTCAAGATTGACACTGACTATGTAATTGTAGGCTGAAGCCTGTTATTGTGACCACAGGCTGGAAGAAGAGGTAACCCCCTGCCGCTCATTACGGACTAATGAACAGCAGGAAAGTTGAGATAAAGAGCCGGTTCAGCCGCAGAACGTTTGCCACTTCTGTCATTCATGAGCTATGAAGCTCCACATGTCTAACACATAACAGAAATCTGAATGGTTATGTGGGTAACACTTTATAATAAGTATATAGTAAGAAAGTATTTACAAATAATTTGCAAACTATTAGATTACAGTTAATAGTTATAGTTAATATATTTATAGACTATACGCAAATAATGTGTTCTTTATTCATTGGCACAGTAATTAAGTGTTATTGATTAATTATCTCATATGTAAAGAGTTAGATAATACTTATTAATGGTAAATAGTTCTCACTTTAGATTAGGTCATGGAAAATCAGAAAATGCTTTAAACCAACTAATATTGGACATTAATTGCACTAGTATTAAGAGTTCATTAAAATGTTTACAAATACATTAAGCCAATTCCAGAAGCTAAACATTAAAATCAATCAATCAATCAATCAACCAAAAAAAAATTACATAATGATCTCAATATGAAATACATACAAATACTCATTTGATCATGTTGTTAAAATACATCAGTTTGGATTAGGGTAGTTTTAGGGGGTAGAATATACAGTTTGTACAGTAAAAATGTACAGTTTTTTTCTATAGAAAGTCCATATAAAACATGGAAACCCAATGCGCGTGTGCGTGCGTGTGTGTGTGTGTGTGTGTGTGTGCACTGTACATAGAAAAAGTCTTAGATCTTTGAGTTCAGCTCATGAAAAATGGGGGCAAAAACAAAAGTGTTGCGTTTATAATATTGTTCAGTGTAAATACAATTAATGTCCAATAAAGGCTGGTTTAAAGCACTTAATTAATGTCATTCCGATTTTCTGTGACTAAAGTGAGAACTAGTTACTGTTAATAAGTTGTTAATGTAAAAAAAACATCAAAACCATTATCTAATTCTTTACATATGAGTTAATTAAACTGTAACGTTGTCATTTATTGTGACAATGAATGAAGAACTCACTATTTGTAAATAGTGTATTATTGTATTAACTACAGTTTACAAACTATTAATTAGCTATAGACTAATAGTTTGCAAATGATTTATAAGTGCTTTGTTACTGTATATTTATTATAAAGCATTACCGTTGTGTTGATTTTGCTGCAACTTTTCTATCACGTCTAGTGAATTTGTTGTTTAAAGAAACATATGATAATAAATCAGACAAGACAGTGTGAACTTTATGATCATTACTTGGATTTTTCACTTAGATCTGCTATTTCCAGTGACAATCCTAGAGTGAGATACTGTAGGTTCATTTGGTTTGCTGTCCATTATAGCGGAGCTTCAGACTACTGGAGTAAAGTTAAACTTTAAACATATAAATAGACGGATAATTTAATATTAGAGGTGCTGAAGCAGGAGACGCGGAGGAGGAGGGGTGGCAGAAGAGTTGTCTCTGAAATGAGGAAAGTAGTCCCTATATGTCCTTGAAATATGACTGACAGGATTAAATGAACACACGTATCTAGAATAATATATAATACACAGAAATCCATTCTGCAATCAATCCGTCAGTCTGTGAAGCCACTAATGCCGAGTTCACACGGCACGATTTTAGCCCGATTTTTCACTCGCCGATAGGTTTTGCGAAATCGCCGCAAGTGCCCGAAATCGGTGCTCATTCACACGAGTGACAATCACGCAGTGTGAATTATCAAAGACGCGATTTGAGAGAATCGCCGACACGTTGCCGACGCCCGTGAAATATTTGGCATGCTAAATATCTGGAGCTGTTGGGAGATTCACAATCACGCTGTGTGCAATGAGTTCTGACTGAAAAACACATCGGCGATGACCTACAGCCAATGAGAGACCAAGATACAGGGCAGCGGGAAGTTCGGGGAGGAGTTATATGAAACGTAGTTTGCGGACCAGTGTTGCCAATTCCGCGATTGCCGCCGGTTGTTTTTTATGTCAGCAGGTTAAAGCGACCCCAATAACGTGATATTTAGGCCCTGGAATGTGAATTGTACCAGGAGAACCCGCCAAAAAAATTTATATTTTACCTCCCGAACACGATTTTTACTGGGGGACCCCCTCGAAAGCAATTGGGCTATTTTCAGGCTAGTTTTGAGTAGTAATTGGGCGGGCTTTGTAGTGAAAACCTGGCAACCCTGCACCAGACAGAGCTGTCTGCGATTCTTCATATTGTGAAGTCATGCAGTGTGTAACCTCCTGTCGTCGTTCCATCGTGCAGTGTGAACACAGCAGCAACTGAATGCTGCCCCAGATAGTCGTTCAGTATGAAACCAACAGTGATGCGACGTCTTTGAAAATCGTGCAGTGTGAACTCGGCATAAGTCTTTCTTTCTTTGCAATATAACAAACAAAATGGGTCTCTGTTAGTTACAAATTGAAATTACATACCAATTTACTAAATTGATTCCATCTTCCAATGTTGAGTACAAAAGAAAGGACATTTTACTGCCGTTCACAGAATGCATTTGCATTAAATTACATTGCTTTTCTATTGTTTTTTAATGTGAACATACTAGATAAATGTGTTTGACCATTGCATTCATATCTCGCATCTTTTACAAAACTGCATTATGAAAAATTGTGGAAATTGATAATTAAATACTGGCTGAATAAAGGACTTCCAATTAATTTTCCCCAAACAAAAAGATGCATTGCGGTAATAATAGCTTAAGGTCTTCATTAAAATTAAAAATATATTCACCAGACATTTTTAATTGTCCTCAGTCAATCTAGTCATGAAGGAAAATCTGTTTTTGCTGAACAAGTTCTACATTCAAATAACTGTATATGTGCATCTGAGAAAAACGCGGTATGCATTTAAAAATACGGATATGCAGCAAAGCTAGCAGAGCCGAATCAGCCGACGCCAAGACACAAAACAAACATTATTCCCAAGAGAAGACAGATATTCATTGCAATAAGTTGTACTCAAGACATGAGATATGAATACTGAGCACAGAAATTATCCTCCAATGGTTTTGGTTTAGGACCTGGTATTAATTTTGCATTGCATTTGAGTTCATGTTTTCATTGGTTTCATGTTTTACACAGTAACACACTCGTGTCTGCCTCTTTTCAAAGCTTTCTGTCTTTTAATAACCCTTGTAACATGATGCACGCCAAGCTTGTTATTTTCTCATTTATCCATTCATGTTTATCACTTGTGTCAAAAACTTTAAGCAGTCCTGCACACTGAACGCTGCATGGATACATTCACGATACTGTGATATATGTAAGCGATTAAGCAACATCTCTATTGATTGACACTACATATCTCAGCCCATATATCTTATGCTTTATTTTTTTTTCTTTAAAAAATGTATTTTTTACCAGTTATCCAGTGTTAGAGATGATGTATTAATAAAGTGATGTCAACTAAACGTGTTCTTATTTTGTTTAACCTATTTTAGTTTTAAATACATTCATTTGGGAAAATGAGAAATAAACAATTGCTACTGCAATTTAAAATATTTCATTGGACCAACAACATGATTTGGTAAACAAATTTTTTCCATTGGCTCAAAATATAATTTCGGATTGAGCAAATGCTAACAGATTGTTGCTACAACTGATACAATTCAATTCAGAGAAATGGAATCAGGCCAAATTAGATGCAAAACAATCTCTAGAAAATTCATCTCTGAAATGTTTTACAGCGTGCATATGACAGGCCATTATAAAACACAGTGCTCAAGTTTAAAAAAAAAAAAAAGTTCCACTACCTTGCATCTTGTCTTTTTGAACAGAAAATGCATTCTGTGTCAATGGCCCTTAAGGCTGCATGCCCAATATACAGCATATGTGACACAATATGTGACCAAAACAGTTTTTGTCATGCTACAGAGCTACACACTGGAAGAAGAAACTCCTTGTTACTAGAAAAGCTACTACTGTCACTACTATTGTCATGCTAATAAAAAATTTAAATATATTGATCCAAATGTTCTAGTAATCAATTTTTCTAGTAATCTATTAGTCTGCATTTACATTGTGCGTATCTATTTTGACATGCCATGTTTTTGTCCTGTGATAGTATCACTATGTCAATTGTAGCTTCAAAGTGAATCATGCATTTATGTGTATGTCACTTTCAAAACTTTGCAGCATGTAATTGGCCGTCAGTCCTCTTAGCAGCATGAAAAACAATACTTTTATTCAACGGATTATAGCTATATAGCCTCGAAAGTGCGAAAGACCGCTCAATTTACAATCTCTAAAGCTGTCACTCATCTCATTTCGCGATCTCACAATGTTCCATTAAAATCAATAAAGTTGTCTGCACTGCATAATTAATTGCTTACTTACATTGGGTGCTTCTCAACATCCCTCCCCATTTCCTCGCTCCTCCGGCCTCCATCCTATGACCTGGAAACCGATCGAGCTCAGCCATCTTGAAGGACAAATCAATTCTCTAATTGATGTGAGGTGTATCCTTTGCGAAGTGTTTTTCACCTTGAAGTAAAAAAATAAAGGGGAATTTTAAATAGGAATGAATTCGCCAGCTAAATCCTATTGGGTGAACGTCACGTTGCGTAATTAATATTAATGAGCCACGCTTTAATACGCAAGTCTCTACGCTCCGACCGTCTGTTGTCGAGTTTCATTTCATCTCACAAGAGCGCGACGGGAAACGTGCAGCGTTGGAGTTTCTCGATAAAATTGATTTATTTAAGGTATTGTGATTGTTTTTATAATATTGTTTACCGTGGAAATATATTGTAAGATCTTGAAACAGTGCGGAGTTAGAGACATGTTTGGTCTTATGTGACAGGAGCGCAGTCACCACGTGTTTACCACGAGGACAATGCAATAATTTTATGTGTGAGAAATTGACTGCAATATAATACAATGCATTTATAATGAAAGCCTGGAATTTTGTAAAGAAACTTTTTTTTTTTTTAGTTTGAAAATCTCCCTTTGACTCCCATTGAATGTTAATAGACATAGTAATATCTGCATAATTAGCATTTGTTTAACCCTGTGAAGCCCAGATTAGTTTTGCATGTGCACACAACTAGAGCCCTGCTTTGCTTGTCGTGCATTGTGGGGTGTAGGATGTGTGCTACAGTACAGCAGGGTCTCTGTTCTCTGCTCTCTGTCCTCATGAGAACTGAGACGCTTCAGATCCTGCTACAGTTTTATTCTATAGATTCAGTGCAGCATAAGAGCTGCTTCTACATTTCAGATGAGTAATGCAGGCATGTGCCCACTGCAGATTATTTCATGCATTTATTTCCATTGACTTGCAGGATGACGCAGAACAGACGGAGAGACAGAAACTGGTTTGGCGTCTCTGTAAGAGCGGCTCACATCTCCAAGCACTGACAATAAGCACCATAAGCAGACGTGTGTTTATCACTGTGACTTCAGCATGTGAAGAAATCATTTTGACAAAGATTTGATCATGACAGACCCTGGAGAAACTCTGTGAGCTTTAAACACATCAACCAATAAATAGCAATAAAACACAAATAAAGTGTCTTGAGTCAGTTTGTTAACATTTTTGGTCTATGATTGTTGATATGCATTTGAATATGCGATTTTGAATGCATTGGTAAAATATAACCTGAAGAAATCCTGTTCAGTGTTCTTTGACCTGTTTTAACACCCATGTGATCTAAATTTTTTTTTTAATTAACTGAGTTCGTATGATGATTTAAAAAAAAATGTATTATTAGAAGAAGAATACAGGAATTCAATAGGAAGAAGGCTAGAGTTTGTAAAGTGTTGACCCACACTCCAGCAGTAATTCACCTGAGAGTTGAGAAGACGACCACATTTTCAATAAAACCAAAAATAATCAGCAATCAAAAAAAGAACGGAGTGGTTCACTTGAGACTTTGGAGAAGCTTGTTTCTGAACAGACGGCAGATCTTTGTGGTGCTCGTGGTGATTATTTTTTGAAATATAAAAAAGGTGCGCACATCCCACAAACCCAAACTAAGGGCTCCGGTGCAGGACAAAAGAAACAAACGGAAGCAAAAAGGACTGAAGGGGGGTGACTCTAGGTCGGATCCCTTCCCTGGACAGCACGCCAAATATGCATTACCATAAGCGAATTATATGCAAGCGTGAACTCGTGAAACTAGCGTGATATATCATTTTTTGTGGCCCAGACACTTTAAGCCAGATCTGGCCCAGAAACTGGTAAATGTAATTCAGCAGTAAAACACAAATACAACCATTTAAAAAGATTAAAGGCTTTAATTATAAAACTACCAAATACATTAATATAAATATATATCAACAATGAACAAATGCACTACAATATAAACACCGTTTGTATCACTCCACTGGATCCACACAGTGGCAATTACGGAGGAGCAAGTACACATTTATTTTACACATACTAATATAACGGTCTCATGCAATGTAGTTTTTTTAGTTGAGAATGTAGTTGTATAAACTTCAGATATGCTGTTTATTTTATTAAGATAGCGCTTATTGGTTCTGATTTAACTATAGTTAGTACTGATTACTTACAGTCGACTCACAGCTATGAGTCTGATTTATGAGCTCATTTATGATCACACAGCTGAAGAACTGTTGTTTGATGTCACAGTGAAAATGATATTATGTTTCTTTCACAGATTTGAACTCTCAACCTAATGGTAAGAAATGCTTCAGTTGTGATTGGGAGGGCTGTTCACAGACAGTGAATTGTTTTGGGAATGAGGATTGCTGCTTTACTGCATACGGTAAGAATTTAGTTATGAAAGAAGACACACAATGAAATACTTATTTTATTAGTTGTATCTGTTATTTGTGTTAGTAGACTGTTAACATTAGCATGTTTGACCTTCTGTATTGTAATGATTTTTTTTTTGTTTTTTTGGATACTTTAGTTTTTTTAGTTTATATCAGGGGTGGCGAACGTCGGTCCTGGAGAGCCGCAGCCCTGCAGAGTTTTGCTTCAACCCTAATCAAACACACCTGAACAAGCTAATCAAGTTCTGAAGGGTTACTAGAAAGCTACAGGCAGGTGAGTTTTAATTAGGGTTGGAGCTGAACTCTGCAGGGCTGCGGCTCTCCAGGACCGGAGTTCGCCAACCCTGGTTTATATAATGATTCCAGACATGACAAGCCACTTTAAATGTGTTGACGACTCAGGTTGCCTTGCATTGATGATTCAACTTCTGTTCTTATATTTTGTAACAGAAACTTTGCCATCAGTGATTATGAAAGGATGTGCATCTGAATTTGTATGTGAGCTGTCAGGACGGATGTTATGACCTGTTTGCTGCATCCCAATGTGCCTACTTATACTACGCCCTTAAGTATGTACTCTTTTCGTGAAGAAAAATACATACTTTTGAATGTGTAGTAGAAGAGTAGGCAAGCTTTAGGACAAACTATCATGTCATACAATTGCGTCTTTAATGGACCGCTCTGTCGCATAGTTACACGCACCCTGTCACTGTAAACTGGCCTGTCAGTCATCTTGTCACAGTTAACATCCTCCACAATGAAATAAAACACAGATAACATTAAATAAATATTTTTAACAGGTTAAATGTTATTAGTAACTCAAACCTATATCTAAACCTCTTTTCTTAACCGTTGGTCGCGCACATCCACCATGTTTGTAGTTTTTAAGGCTTTTTATTTGTGTTTGTAGTTCTGAACCGAATCCTTCGCCAAAGCGCAATGGATTGTGGGCAATATTAGCCTTTAGAGTGTGCATGGATCCACACTTCAAAAATCAACCTGAAATAGTAGACCATCCGGGGACTTCTGGCATACTCTTTTCAACATACTATGCTTTGGGACGCACTTATTCTAATTTCACATACTATTTAGGATGGATAGTATGAACATTGGGACGCAGGGAAAGTTAATGTGACATGTTGTGAGGGAAATCTGTGTAATGCTGCAGAGAGTGTCACTCAGAGCTTCCTGTTTCTCGGCTGTTCTCTGACATTCTACTTCCTGCTGCACTGAATTCAGATCACAGAACACAGCAGTCACATTACAATGCTTTATTTTTTTTAAACATGGAAATACACTGAACATTATTTCTTTTATAAGAGTTTAAGAATTTGGGAGGTAAAAAAAAACTGAATTAAAAAGGAAGAAACTTTTGACACCATGGTTGTTCAGAGTGCTAAAATATAAAACACACACACACACGTTTACTTAGCTATCTAAATGGGAATATTCCATAGGCGTAATGGTTTTTATACTGTACAAACTGTACTTTCTTTCCCCCTACACCAACCCTACACCTAAACCTACCCCTCACAGGAAACTTTCTGCATTTGTACAATTTAAAAAAAATAACTTTGTTTACTTTATTTTTATACCACTTTTACAAATGAGGACGTCCTCAAAGGGAGGTTTTTGGAGATTTTGTCAGGTTTAGCTCACTTTTGGGTACAAATTTGTCCCCAAAATATGGTTAAGTAGGTACACACACACACACACGCATGCACACACACACACACACACACACACACAGTCACGATCCCTGCCTGTGTTTCCTTTCTATGGTTACTCATTAGTCTTTTGTCCTCTGGTCTGTTTAATTCCTCTCTGGAAATAAACAATTCTCTGGATTCTACTTGCATTCTTATTAATTCGTTCAATTAGAGGAGACACTGAAGACATTATGACTGACTATGACATATGAGTACTGCCGTTAAAATATATTGACTGATTAAAACATCTCATAAACAGTACCTGCTCATCTACAAACACAGCTACTCTCATTCAGGCTCTTGATCTACAGTATGATTTAAGCACAACAAAAATACAAGTAATTGAAGGTTTGTTCATCATTTAAACATAATGGTCATGCTTGATTCTCTGACAGTACACCACATTATGCAATTACACAATCTTTCCATGCATAAGATTGTTTGGTTATAAATTAACAAAATTCAATTGCAGATCGACAACAGTGTTCAGATTCCTACCATGTCCTGATTCACTATGGTCTAAATATGAATTTAAATCATAAACAAATCTAGCGTTGAAAACTAGATATGATATGACTATGAGCAAATATCTGATTATCAAAACACAAACTCATTAAATGCTGTTAGTTCCAGAGGTGGGGGACTCGAGTCACATGACTTGACTCGAGTCTGACTCGAGTCGCCTGTTGTTTTTAGGCCTTATTTGTCTGCCATGGCTTTACTTTATGTAAGCTGTTGTGTGTTCCCTGGTGCCTTGTTTTTGGTTCTAGTGGATTTGTCTAATAAACATCCTCACGTCCTTGCCTGCACGTGACACACACACACACACACACGAAAACATGGCTTTTTCAATCATGGTGGGGCATTTTCAATGATTACTACTGGTAGAGAGTCTAACAGTTTTCAAACTGAGGGTC